GTACATTTCTAGATATAAATTACATTTAAATAAACATCGATATAAAAAATATATATAGAATAATAAATCCGTCACACACTGGAGACATGTCATTTTTTCAGATGAATCTGTTTCCGGCTTGTTAAATCCGATTGTAGGATTCGTGTTCATCGTTTGCCTGAAGAACAGATGAACATACAGGAGGTGGTGTAGTACATGTTTGGGCAACTATTCATCATGGTGGAAAAACAGCCCTTCATATCTTCCATGGAAACGTCAACGGCGCCTCCTACAGTCATCATATGAAGACGATATTTCTGCAATATTTTAGGGCAAGGTTTGGTAATAACTTTGTGTTGCAGGATGACATTACCACCGCTTAGACATTACAAGATTGACATGCCCAGCAAAGTCTCCAGATTGTAATCCCATTGAGAAGTATAGGACAGAACTGCCCCGGAAAATTGCTAACCACGACCCTAAACCAGCTACTGTAGCTGTGTTGCAGTGCTAGTGACACGTTGGGATGAAATCACGATGTATTACATCAATAATCTCATCGACAGCATGCCACGTTATCTTGCGGAGGTTATTAGAGTACCAGGAGGACCAACCTAGTTCTGAATGTCTAATATGAACTGATATAAAGCTACGAATGCTATTTATAATAATTTGATGTTATATTTTGTCATTGTATATGTTTTGCTAAGGTTTTGTTGTGATAAGTGAAATGCTGAAATACACATCTTTCTACAGGTGTCTGATAAAATTATTTTCTATTCTAATAAATCGTTCATGATGTCTCATTATAAAAATTACACATGTATATGTTTAACATACCATATATTTCTCAGTTTGACATCGCTAAGTGTATTTGTATTCCATCTTAATAATAATGATCTTATTTGTTACAAAATATGCAAACATTTTGGCCAAGGCTGTATGTTACACGTATATTTATTTATGTAGTATTGCAAAGACATCTACATTAAATCAAAATAAATCCTTTTGTAGGATAACAATAATTTCATATTAGGATTATACTATAAAATATTATGATCCAGCGCTATTCGTTCGGTTTATTATAAAATTATGCTGTGAATAAACCACATGGTTTAATTCTTCACTGAAATTGACATAAACCATATTGTGATGAATTATACAACTTGAATTAAGTATCTTCGGCGTATTCGTTAATTAGAACCTGTATAAAAACAACAACAACAAACACATAATCATTTCTTTTAAGGATTATATAAAGGATCATGAAATTAGATTAACAAGCTGTGTATAAACTTTGTGAACTAAATCATTAAAAGGGTTGCGATGAAATAAGATGGAATATTTCATTGTAACTACTAGTATACAGCAAGTTGTAAATATTCATTAAAAGATGTAACAAAGAAGGGTTTACTCTTATGAAAGTGTAAGCTGAAGTAGGTAAATTCCCTGAATGGAATCAGATACACTATAAATAGAGGCAGGCAGACTCACTAGATACAAATGTTATAAAACCTCATGATATGAATAAGTAGGTACAAGTGATTGATATATCATTACTGTAAAGGCTGCAAAGCGACACTAAATATTAATAGTAGATTCTGTAGACATAAGTGACAATGAACATTACAAGTGGATCTGTAGACATAAGTGACACTGAACATTGCAAGTAGATTCTGTAGACGTAAATGACACTAAACATTACAAGTAGATTTTGTACATAAATTATATCAAACGTTAAAGTAGATTCTGTACACATAATTAACACAAAATATTTCAATTCGATTCTGTAGACCTAAGTGACACATTATTTCAAATATATTCTTTAGATCTAAGTGACACATTATTTCAAATATATTCTGTAGACATAAGTGACACAAAATATTTCAAGTAGATTCTGCAGCCATAAATGCCACTGAACATTTTAAGGAGATTATGTAGACATAAGTGATACTTAACATTATAAGTAGATCAGTGTATAGCCCGTCAAAATTGACGGGTGTTAAGAAAACTCTGTAAAGATTGCTATAAATTAACTAGCAACAATTTTATTCACATTAAAAATCCCATTTTTGTTTCATAATATTTATTTATAAACAACATTGACAGTGAAACTATCATCAGTATTTTTCAATTTCCCTTGGAACTGTGAATCAACAATTTTTACCTTAATTTTTTTTTTGGACATGCATCTGTAAAAAGCTAGGTAAAGTTGACTAAACGCCGTTTTCTTTCCTCTCGTGTTTCTTCCATTTGAATATTTATTAATTAACATTTATTCTACTTAAAGCTATTTAAACATAGCTTTTCGACTTTCATAGGATATCTGGTTTAATGTTATGTATGCATAGAAATGAGGAACTGCCAATTTGATTCACATGCTACAATTAATGGTATTTTCATTAATATAATCAGTTGCGTTTAAAATTCAATTTAACTTATTTGGAGGATCTATTTCAAACATGCATATAATTTAATGGTTTTACAATAGCAAACATTATTTTGTAATTTAAGAACTAGTTTCAATATAGAAAATGAATTATAAACTAACTTATTGATTACATTGTTGAATATTTAACTATAGGAAGAAGGAATCGTACACTATAATTCAGAACTTAATAATAACAGGTCAGTTTTGGTGAAGAGAAACGGATGGATTTCGTGATTTAATCAAAAGGAATGGAAGATGATATGAATTGAAAGACGTGAGTAACTTTATTTAATAAAGTTTCCAATGTTAATAGTCTTAAATATATCTCAAACTTAAAATTTGCCTAGAATAGAACTACAAAGCTAGATTGATTAAAGTTAGTATAGAACCATGCAATTAGATTCAATAAACATTAACGATATAAACTGTGTAGCAGCACAGTGGTATGTCTGCGGGCTTCTACTGCTAAAAACCGGGTTTCGATACCCGTGGTGGGCAGAGCACCGATAGCTCTTTGTGTAGCTTTGTGCTTAATAACAAACCTTGTAGATTTTTATAAATTTATTTTTGTATAAGTGCTTATTTCTTTTATTTTAGTTAGCATTTTTTAATTAACCAATTTACTCTGGCTAACACACACTCAAATTTGCTTGATTCTGACCATTTCTATTAATATATTTGCCTTCTCTTTTCTATAGATAACCGGTTATTCGTTCATGTTTTGCATAACTTAATGAAGTGAGGTTCCTTCATCCAAAGTAAGCTTTCATTTGCTACGTAAGTCTCTATATTATAGTTTTGTCTAACCATACTAAATGTTTTCTCTCCTTATCCAAGCATCACATAATTTCACTATGTGACTTTTCTTCATCCAGGTTTTGGCTTGCTTCACCAAGTGACTTTTCTTCATCCAAGTTTTGGCTAGCTTCACCAAGTGACTTTTCTTCATCCAAGTTTTGGCTAGCTTCACCAAGTGACTCTTCTTTATCCACATGTTATGTAATTTTCCAAGTGACTTTTCTTCATTCAGTTTGAGCCAAACTTCGGAAAAGATTCATTTGCGCGTGTGAATTCCGATAGCTTTACAAAATAAAACTTCATTGAAACCTATCAGTTTCTGCAATGTTTAAAACCTCATTGAAACCTACCAGTTTCTGCAATGTTTAAAACTTCCAAAAGCTTTATAACCAGCGACGTTATTTAGTTTTAAGTACAATATCGTCTCTCGTTATTAGTTAGTAATGTTGGTTAACCTAACATTCTTTATAAATTGTTCTGTCTTGATTGGAAAAAAAATCTTAAAATAATAAAACTAATAAATAATATAGTGTAATGTAAAAAAAAGCTTCAAAAGTATTAATTTTTTTTTTTTTACAATTTCAAAGTTTTGCAGAAAGAAATCATAGTAGGAACTTTTTAAATAATTTTTTCCCGTGCTTATATATTATAAATTATATGGATTACTGACTAAATATGTATAAGATTATAGAGTAAACACTATTCTATATTATGTTTTGATACTGGTTTTTACACCATAAAAATTCCCTTTGTCCTAGTTCTAATTTAATGAAATTAGAGCACTCTGGTTCGTTTTTTTTTCCAGTTGACAATATTGTGTAAATATCCTGTTCCTTTTGTAGAAGAAACTCGTGTAAAAGTCGCCTCAAAATAATCCACAGATGGTTTAATATCAACTTAAGATTCATTAAAAATTAAAGTAGCCGAAATAGTGAAGCACAGTGTAGAGGGCTGAACAAGTTTTGAAAAAAAAACAACAAACAAAACAAAAAATAGACCGAAACGAAAATTGACTTACCATGTGCAAGCAATTATCCTGTAGTATTGTCTGACCTCTTTTCCTGTTTAATGTCCATGAACTTACAACAAAGAATTTTCCAGCAGGTTAACAATTTCTGTGCTTTTGTCTAAATTTATTTTATGTGTCGTGTTTTTATCTAATTTTCTCTCGAACGTAAAGGCGGTCTGTATTTAAGTCTGTCTGTTTGTTGATTAAATAATGCAAATTCAATTACTAAGGTTAATGGTGTAGATAAATGCACATTTTAGTTATCTATCCCAGAAATTGAAAACTTTTAAATATATATTACATGACTTTAGCTGGCACTGTTTCATACGTCTTGGCTTAGCATGGCCAGGTGGTTAGGGCGCTCGACTCGCAATCTGAAGGTCACGGGTTCGAATCCCCATCTCACCGAACATGCTCGCCCTTTCAGCCTTTGGGGCGTTATAATGTGACGGTCAATCCCACTATTCGTTGGTAAAAGAGTAGCCCAAGAGTTGGCGGTGGGTGGTGATGACTAGCTGCCTTCCTTCTAGTCTTACACTGCTAAATTAGGGACGGCTAGCGCTGATAGCCCTCGTGTAGTTTTGCGCGAAATTCAAAACAAACAAACAAACAATCATACTTCTCAAATAATATTTCTAATTAGAACATAATCTTCACGTTGTAAAGGTTTTTTTAATCATTTTACTAACTGTTAAAACTAACAACGTATAAAATGTATGGAAAAGTTATGAACTAAACATTTCATTAAGAAAAATTGACGAAAAAAGTCTTTTTTTCCTTATGATAAAAGGTATCAAGTTACAAACTTTATAAAATATTCCACGATGTCATTATATAGAAATAAGACATTAAATATTAACAACAGCATAGCTTTGTAGCTCTAGAGTTTTTTGAGGTTATAGTAATATTTCAATGTTGTGAATAAGGAGCTCACAAAGGATAATACAACTCAGAAACTAAAACAATTACTCTTCTAGAAATGGAGAATTTTAACCAAATTTATGTAAAACACCTTCTGTCCTTAACTATATTATGTCTTATAATAGACATAAGAGTAAATATTTATAATTATGTCTATTATAAGAGCCTGGTCTTTGTTGTTGAGATATGGTTTCTAATGTCTGTAAGTTACTTTCAATGCTAGCTCAGCATCACTATTCCTCATCGCGAGTTTGCTGATACTAGTGGTGTACAGAATTTTTAACCTCCCATGTTCTTTGTATCTCTGCTGAGGCCTCCTGGTGGTGGAACAAATATACTCAAGTTTGATTCTAGCTTTTCCGTATATTTTATTTATTGTTAAACTTAAATCTTTTACCACGGACACGATTAAAACTGACTTCAGTTTTGTTTAATGATTAACAAAATCTTTATTTATAAGAAGTTTTGTTTGGTTATCTAAGGTGTGAGCGAAGCATCGTTTTTGTTTTATTTTTTACATTTTTATGTATCATTCAGGTGGTTAACGAATTATTCAAAATACATAATTGGCAATAATCATATTTATGATAAACCTTATACGTCTGCTTGTCTTGGTATTTGATGTAAGTTGTTATGATAATGTGATACTTTTTAAAGTTTCTTACTTTAGACATGCATTAGAGTAAACTAATATGTCACTAACTATCATCCTTTATTTCACATTAATTTCATTGGAATGTCCAACAAGAAAGAATTTATGGGCTTTTTCAACAACTTATTTTACTTTACTGTGAATTTGTCAGTGTAAAACAAATATTTATAAAACAATTATCAAGAATATATTTTTATTTTCAACAACAATTATTTGATGTGTTTCATTTTCATGACCAAATCACAAAGCAATATCCTAAACGTTTCATGACAACCTTGACAATCAACTTTTTTCAATATCTTCATGATATTTTCAACCAAAATAAGATAATGAAAAAAAGGTTAAACAGCCAAAAAAAAACCTTTCCACAAAGAAATATATATCTGTAATCTTGTTACATTTAAGTATGCTGTAATATCCCTAACATTAAAAAAAGACGCTTGAGTTTAATAGATATAACACTAAAGAGATCCTAAAATCCTATAATCTTTTTGCTTTATAAACATGTAATCCCCTCATGAAAAGAGGGGATTTAGTACAACTCATTAGATTATTTGACTTAACTGCTGTATTATATCAAAGATGCCAGTACATTGATGTTTGCTACATTTTTTTACTGATTATAATAGAACACAACTAAACATCACCTTAAGGAGAAAATTGCTTTTATGCACAAGTACTCTGTAATATATCACTACGCATGCCCAAGTTGCGTACTTAAGTGTTTTTACCTTTTTCACAGCCAATTCACATGCTGCCAATGATACCCAAGTTTAATTAAAAATTGTGAAATTAAAAAATAACAACAGAATTTATGTAAGGTATTGATGACAACTTATACTTCAATTACAATAATCAAATATTCTAATTGCTGAAGTTATGGAAACTAGCAGCTCATATTAGTACACACTGAAAGGATAAGCGAATCTCTGAAAATTATTACTTTAAGGTCCTGAAGACTATGAGTTTTAAAGGCCAGGTTTTGTTTAAATTAGTTGAAACTACTCGAGTTTAAAACCTTTGGAACTTTGGAAATCATTATTAGCACATATTATTAGAGCGTGTAAGCAACTACAAGATTAATACTTTGAATTAATATTCATTGATGGAAAGTGTGAGACTAAACCAATACTAATTAGTGCAAAACATTGAATTTAAAACTTTAACGAGATAGGTTAAATCTCTGGATACATGTACTTCAAGCTATTTCAGACACTGCCAAATAGGTGAAAATCGATAAGATTTTTAAACTGAAGTCTGTGTTAATAGCTAAAGTACAGGAACCATTATGAGATTAATATTGAAGTTAGTATAACTTGAAATAGTAGGTGAATCTCTAAGCTATAATACTTCAAGCTAGTATTCACTGCTTAGGCATCTGAAGCTCGGAGAAACTATAGTAGTAATGTTAGTAGGCATCAATGGAGTATTCAGAACTCTGAAAATTATAATAATTTGTACTTCAATAAATTTCAAGAACATTATTAGTTCCAATTAATACAGATTCCTGAAACATAGCAACCTACGGACATCAGGGATTCAACTTAGTGCAAAATTCTTGACTTGTAAATATCTAAGATATTGAAAACGTAATCCACTATGTCAAGTTGTCATACACGTCTAAAATCTCTCGAAATTAGAAATTAAAGTTATTACACGTTGCTGAAGTATGCAAACGATTATATTCATTGGCGAGATAGAGGAAACTTTAGGAGATTAAAGGTTCAAGACAGCACACACACACACTGCTTATGTTTAGGTACTTCCGAAGACTATGGCTTATGCTGATGTTAGTAACTTACTAGAAAAGTGTATGAGCCGTTAAGCAACTGATACTTCAAGTTAGTTCAAACTTCTGTAATACATTAACTTTTGGATTAATGCTTCAAGTTAATACTTGAAGGCGGGAGTAAGTATGTGGAAAAATCCTGAGATTAATATTTCAAGTTAATACGTACTGCTACGGTTTGCAAAGCTATTTAAAACGATTACATGCTGCTAGAGCGGAAGAACATCTACAAAATTTCTACTTCTAAATAACATGAATTACTGGTGTATAAAATATTAGTATTTTATATTAACTCATATTATTGCAATGTGTGTGAATATCAATGAGACTAGTATTTCAGTCAACGATAAAGTATTCAAAACCTGTAAGATTTGTCTTGAACGTTAGCATACACTTTTATAGGTGTCAAACGTTTTATAGATTAGTACATAAAGCTAAAATGTGTAATTTTTTATTCCACTGGAAATTCCATTTAGGCCACAATGCTTGACTAATGAAACCATTAAATATTAGTGTATAAAGTTTGTGCACAGTGTTAGGTTGAGTAGAATAATTCGATATTAATAATTTATGGTTTTGTATACTATTA